AAAAAAAAAAAAGTGAACCTCCCAGCTGGGCGCGTTGGCTCACACCTGTAATCCCTGCACTCCGGGAGGATGAGGCGGGTGGATCAGGAGGTCAGGAATTTGAGACCAGCCTGACCTCTACTAAAATACAAAAATCAGCCAGGTGTGGTGGCGCATGCCTGAGATCCCAGCTACTCAGGAGGTTGAAGCATGAGAATCGCTTGAACCTGGAAGGTGGAGGTTTCAGTGAGCCAAGATGGTGCCACTGCACTCCAGCCTGGGAGAGAGTGCGAGACCCTGTCAAAAAAAAAAAAAAAAGGAAACCTCCCAACAGCCCTTTGAAGTTGACAGGATTATCCTAGATGAGATCAGTGGGAAATAGGAAGTTTAGGAAGAATAAATTGTGACCAGATTTGAACCCAGATTAGTGTCACTCCTAAGACTATACTGTTTCAACTCTACCAACCTCCCTAATGAGAAACTATAGTCCAGGAGATGAGAAAATATACACAAATAAAAGTTACACTAATGGACAGAGACAAGAAAGATTAATTTGGGTGTTGGGGGAGTTAGTCATTAAAGACTTTTAAGTGACAGTTGATTTGGGTCTTTTCAGTTGTTACTTTTGACCCAGCAATATTGTGAAGCTGTGTTACAGATGAAGGGACTGTGTGAGGATAAGGAAAAATGCCCAAGGCTGGACGCTGTGGCTCACACCTGAAATCCCTGCACTTTGGGAGGCAAAGGCAGGCAGACTGCTTGAGCTCAGGTGTTGAAGATCAGCTTGGGATACATGGTGAAACCCTGTCTCAACAACAAAAAAATATATAGAAAAATCAGTCTGGAGTGGGGATATGCACCTGTAGTCCCAGCTACTCAGGAGACTGAGGCAAGAGGATCTCTTGAGTCCTGGGGGCGGAGATTGCAGTGAGCCGAGATCATGCTACTGCATTCCAGCCTGGGCAACAGAGCATGACCCTTTCTCAAAAAAAAAAAATGCCCAAGGAACAGGAATTAATAGGACTACAGTGTAGTGTGAGCAGGGAAGTAGGAAGGAAAAATCACAGTGATAGTAATAGGTAACATTGACATGGGCCCTTACTGTGTGCCCAGCACTATTTTGAGTGTTGTGCATATATTCATTTAATCCTTTCAACAACTCAGGCAGGTACAACTAAGACCTCCATTTTACAGATGAGGTACCAGAGGCACGGAAATGTTAGGTGACTCTTCTGGTATCATGCAACTAATAATTGGTGGAGCTGGGATTTTAACTGATTCTGGTCCCAGAGTTTGGGCTCTAAGTTAAAGTTATGTTTATTGCTAGTGGACTGTAAAGAAACAATGATCAGCTTACCACTGTGGGTTTTATTTTCTTGTAGTGGAGAAAATTTTGAACAAATAAAGGACTTAATGAGACTGGGAGGATGACTCAGGCAATGGAGAAAGGATTGATTGGTGGAAAGAGGACCGGAAATGTGATTTGAACTTTGTTGTTAACGCCATACCCATATCTTATATAAGACATACATACATTTGTATGTAACAGCTCTCTAGTTCCGAAACTTCTGTGTGCCTAAGAATTTTCTGAAGGACTTGTTTAAAATATACATTTCTGGGTCTCTCTCCCAAACATCCTTGTTCAGATTAACCAAACTTCCTGGGTGACTCTTATTGAAGTATTAAGAACCACAGTACTGTGATAGGAAGTCAACTCTTCATTGATTTGATTTTCATCTGCAAATACGTAGAGCCCAGCTTTGTGTCAGCCACTCTCAGGTACGATGATAGAATTCAATGGATTGGTTCCTTTCCTTAGGAAACTCAGAATTTGGTTGGAGAGGCAAAGACATCACTGAAATAGTGTATAGAAAGCATAAGAGTGATATACGTTTTTGTTTTTTTTTTTTAATTTATTTTTTTTGAGACGGAGTTTCGCTCTCGTTACCCAGGCTGGAGTGCAATGGCGCAATCTCGGCTCACCGCAGCCTCTGCCTCCTGGGCTCAGGCAATTCTCCTGCCTCAGCCTCCTGAGTCGCTGGGATTACAGGCATGCGCCACCATGCCCAGCTGATTTTTTGTATTTTTAGTAGAGACGGGGTTTCACCATGTTGACCAGGATGGTCTCGATCTCTTGACCTCGTGATCCACCCG